GCAAGATATATGACAGATGCCTGAATCTCGATTACGATATTTTCAATATAAGCTTGCATATATACAAGTTCCGAACAACAACATTTGGACCGTTGGTCTACCGAGCAATATCACCTGCTCGGTGGAACATCTTCCCTTTCGTCGTTTAGCATTCCAAAATAGCAATGTAGCAGTAAATAAAATTAGCCAAAAGAACATGCCTACCGTAAAAGTTATGTTAGTTTCATTTCCAGCAACGGAAACAAAACTGATTGTGGCATGAAATGACTTCCGTGCGCTTACGTATGAATCATTCACAAAGGAATGCTATTTAATGTAATACGTCAAATCTTATTTGAAAAACGTTATACGTATATAATTTTTCACAAAAACAAAGAATATAAGATTGATATACATATAAGAAGATAATATTATTTGAAATGTGCTGTATTTTAGAATCATACTAGGCAATGCTGTTTCTTTATGCTTTAATATTTATGTTTTATTTGAAAAAGTAAATTTAAACATCTTTCGAAAGGTTGTCTAATCGCCAAGATAAAATACGCCGTCGAACAAGTCAATTTAGACTTGGAGCTCAACATACCAGGTGGTGTTTCATTCACGAAATGAGGAATCTATATATCTATAGACTCTATCACTCATTAGCAAGCAGACCGTGAGCTCATCTGCCCGTTTAGAATAATTGAAAAAAATTCCATTGTGCTTCCTTTCCTCTTTTTCTTCCTTTTACACGTATTATGGCTCCATTTAGACTTTTAACTAAGTTTAGACTAAATTCATTGAGGAATCTGAATGAAAAAATTATACTCCTCAACTAAGATTACTTCATTCTTTTAAAAGTGATTATTTTCAAACCCTACTTTCAAACTGGCGATTTTCTGTTCCACCTCTATTAATTAAGTAATTAGTACGGTTTTCAATTCAAATTTGTATTAAATGTAGCATTTTATTTCACCCAGGAAATAAAATAAATCTGAATAGGTATTTAAAATATTATTATATATTTATCAATTTATGATCTTCAAAAGAACATAACTTTTGATATATATCTTTGTGCGATATTAATTAATGACTAGATTAGGTACTGCAGGGGCGTCTACAAACAATAATCAGATTTATTAACACTAAAGTAAGATCAAATTCAATTCGAAGTTCAATTCATAAAATATCTAGCCAAATATATTCAGATAAAACACAACAAGCGATGTACCTGATATCTGAAAATAAATATTTTTAGATTGTACATAATTTTTTTAAGGAAAATTATCCGTACCCGTGTATTGATTAGTAATAATGATGTAGATATAGGCTGTATAGCTACTATATCTATATTAGTTTTATTCATTTTTTTTTACATAAAAACTTCTAAATACACAGATAGCTTACTGAGTTATATCGCCACATAAGCAGCCCATTTTGGGAGTAAACTACAAAATTTATATTAGATAATTCAAACCACTTATTAGAAAAATAATTTGATTCGAATAAGGATGGAGTATGTGTTAATACTCAATATCAGTACATTTCTATGCCATCTCAAGGGAAAGGCATTCATACTATTTAATCCATTGCTGTTTACTTAAATGCCTAACCTTGCTTATGTGTTTTTTAATACTTAAACTGGTTATCGGAGCCCATAGACATCAAAAACCTAAAGGCCACCACCTACCATGAGACATGAGTTTAAAACCTCAGTTACCCTTCAAACCGGAACTTACTGCTTAGCGGCAGAAACAAGAAGGATGGTGATATGTACCTGTGCAGGCCAATAAAGAACGCTGCCACCAATCAACCATTCGAAGTTTCCGAGAAAGCGATTTAAATAACAGCAATTGAAATATGGCGAGCCGCCTTTATGATATGAAAACCATGTCGAACCTCGTATTTGAAAATGAAGCGCTTTCTATGCGCAAACTTAAATCAAAAAACGAAGTGCTTATATTCTGCGTGGGTGTGTGTGTGTGTGTGTGTGCACGAGCGTCTGTTTGTGTGTATGAAGATCGTCCGACCTCGTTTCATAAAAAAATGTCATAGACTGGATTGCAAATATTATTCTGTAATTTAGAAAGTGAGTACGATGACATAAATTTCAAATTAAATCATTTTATGAAATTCTTTGATGATCTCTTGCAATAGAAAAGGTTATTGCATAAAACATTTTCGCATGAACAGCTTCATTCTTCCAATTTAATCATGGAGACCGGACTAAAGGAGCATCGCGCGGAGCAAATGTCTCTCTGACACCCTACCCGCACAGAAAAGTTTTCCTACAGTCGTCGGCACTACCCGCTCGAGGGTAGAGCCTCTCGGTCGGTGGACTATTCAAAGCCAATTAGACGGCCCCACAAACGCATACCCCTTGAATACTCTGTAGGGTCAGAACCAGCGTAAGTCGAGGAGTGCGATCATCCGTCGTATAAACAGCGGCACGTAAGTTGGCAAGGTGGCGTAGTGGGGGTAAGGTCGCGCATAGTGCACATTGCAACAAAAAATAGTCACTTTTATTGCCCGCATTATTCTACAGTTATTGCCATAATTTATTTTTAAGCGTATCTGTTTAGAAGAAAGTTAAAGAAAAAATGGTATTTGGTCCTGGCATTGCAAACAAATTTAAAACAATAGCACTCGTAACAAAAACTAAATTTAAAACAAAAATAACAACTCGTAACAAAAACTCAATATAAGCAAAGGGTACCTACAACTTTAGTACACGCAAGTGTAATCGGGAGCGAACGGAACGTAGACGCGGTGCGGGAGGCAAACGTCGACTGACGCACCAATCGCGCGCTCGGAACGGCGCTACGTCTTTCCCCTCGTCCCGCTTGACAACCAAAGAGACCTAAAAAAGGACTTATGCGCATCTAACGACTCTTGCCAGGTTACGCGCCGGGGACAATACATTTCCTCTTTGTACACAAGACGTGTGTAGACCAGCGTACACTTCGTTTTCTTAGGTCTACCTAAGCGGAGGGAATCCGTAACACTTAGGGAGACCACATTCAGGCGAGATCTTGATCCCGACTTTCAGCTTGACGACGACGTGTTTTACTCTCTCTTTCGCAAGTCGCCACCTGCTTATGTAAGATCGAGTAGCTGCAATTCGAGCATACAGCGTCACGAGTCGGATTTGCGTCAAAGACACGGCGCCGCCCAACCGATGCTGAGAAAACCGCGAGCGTGTGCTTCGACATATCCAAAATGGTCTCTATCCAAAATCTATGGCCTCCTCAATCACTATTAACACAGTCCCCGAGGAACGGGCAAGTCAACCGGCGCTCCACAGGCCAGTTGAAGGATTAGCCAGCCGCCTGGACGATTCTCCTCGAACGGACCACCAAGATTGGACCTTCCGCGCTGGGATTAAAATCGGAACACCACCATTAATCAGCAGCAAAGGCCTCTACCGCAAAGATCCCGGATTGCATCCCCCAACACGCATGCTACTTCAAAGGAGAATATGAAGCCTTGTGATTGTTAATTACCAATTGTGAACCAAATGATTATTAATTATGAAAGTCGTAACGGAAACCTTATCTATAAATATTGTTTGTAGCTAAAAACCTTTGCCTGTTATCATTATAATTATAAATAATAATCGCAATATCAATTTTGATAAAAATACCGGTCTGTTTGTTCTATCATGTAAAATCATTTCTGCAATATGTATGTACATATATATCAGTATGTATGAACAGCACGTTTTATGAAGCATTGTTAAAACTAGTAGATATGTACGTGCTCAATATCATTTGGTTTAAAATAGCCATTATAAACTTAAAGTATGACACTGATAAAATAATAAAATATTAAGAATTTGGTCCACGTTTTGACACAGATAAAATATGATTGTAGGACATCATGTGAGTCCGCACGGATAGGTACCACCACCCCACCTATTTCTGCCATGAAACATGATTAAATGATAAAATTCTTCAACCCATAAACGGGAGAGTGGACTGTAGATACAATATAGACAGTTTGGGGGTAGGGTCACGTGTTCCCTACATCCTGAAAAAGCTTTGTAGGTTCTGGACGGGCGAATAGTGCTGGGTCGCCCAATTAACTCCGCCGATCCATAGTCTCTCAGTCGGTGAGTTTTCCTAAGTGAAATTAAAAGTCCTGCAGTTTCCAGTCTGCATTAACCACGTCTTCAAAGAAAAATCATTGTATCGGAACTCAGAACTCATCTCTTTATACATTTTAAACAAGAACGACTGCATCGCAGAAAAAAGAGACTAATCATACACATAACTAAACTACATTATTTGGATATAAATACATACAGAATACGACTCGTAGTAAGTAAGTAAGTGCCATTCAAGTAGCAAAAAATAGAAATTTCTATCTCAATTCTCGACTATGCGCTTATGAGAAACGTCAGTGCCTAACGAATATAGCTTAAACAATAGATATAGCTTAAATAACCTAAAAAGAACTGAGAGCCATTTCATTTTAGGTATTCTCAAACACCAAACTAAATAACTCTGCGTACCTTAAAATTATAACTTCCTACGAATCGGCGATATCTACCCTTGCGGGCTCATAAGACATCCTACACCAGTAAACCCATATATACAAGGTATAAAGAATATTATTTGGAGATAAGATTAAGCATATAAATAGCCCACAACACCTACCTTAACGCCAATAAATGCTGTCGCGGAAAAATCATATTATTCAAAGAGCAGGGCCGTTTTTATTCCAAAATCTAAACATTCTTTTTCTTTATCGTAAAATCAGAATGTTTTGGTTTAACTGTTGACGCAAGAATAAGGAGAATTTTATTGTACTCCTCGTTGTTTGGATACTGATAGTACTAATTTAAAAAATCTAAACGAGTATGGTAAATCATCAATTTAGTTTGGACGCGATCGTAGTATTTTAAACACACACAATATAAAACCAACTCAAGGAAAATTTTGAATTTTGCAAAGCCTACATAAAGTGGTTGAACCTTCATTTACATTACAAGAAACAAACAAGAAAAGAAACATAATTACCTATAAAAATATGTGACTCAGTAGCACTATTTATTTATCCACTAGATCTTATCACTTCGTTTAATTGAACTATAGTTAAGGAGGTAATTTAAAACTTTGGCACTTTACTGGGTAGATATCACAACATCGCACTTGTCGGTTAGTGGCGCCAGCACGTAGGCGCATGCGCAGCGCTGTGAGGCGCGTCTCCCACTAGCGAGCAATGGCGAGATCACTTCACTGAGACTCCATGACTTATGTTATGACAAAACTCACAACAATTTTAAAGTTTTTATTGTCATTCCCAACAAACTATGGTGACAAACTAAAGAACACTTTAAACAGACAATTATGTGGTAAACTGATTACTAATTTTATTATTGGATTCTGAGAATACGGGTTGTGTTGACCATTTGAACAAAACGTAAAGATAACAGTTATATTTCCGAGGAGATTTGTGAACCGCCCCCTTTGGAATATTCCTAGATAAAAGAAACATTTGTGCTGATGAATAATGGAGTCTGGTAATAAATAATACTTGATTAATATCTTAACGACCCAATAAGCGTAGCGGTTGCACATAGTAGCCGTTCGCTTAGCTTAGGTGAACGTACGAATCACGCGACATCAACACCTCGGTCAGTCTTGAGATCCAACACGAATTGTTGCAAAACTGCGTCTGTATTGTCGACTTAAGTAACATTTTTAGATTTTACACTAAAAAAAACGAAAAGAAGGATTTCTTATTACGGTCTTATTTATTCTCATCTTCACATTAAAGTAAATGAATGAAATAGATATGTGACATACCCAATAGTAACGTGCCACGCTAATTTTAATGGTAAAAAAAAACATTGACCCAAATTTATGAACTGCTTATTTTACGGTAAATCTGTTAAAAAAAAACATGATTTTTGTATGTGTAAAATGAACGTGATGACAAATCTAACAAACTAGTGTCTGATAAGTGGTCAAATCAAATATAACATTAATATTATACTGTAAACATTGATTTCATATCAATTTGTAAATACTATCATAAAACAACTTATTTCAATTAATGGAATATCGTCCTTAAATTCATTATTATAGGCTTACTTTTAATTCTTCTCTAATCAATTTGACCGTAAATTAGACATTAGTAGAAACAGAAAAGTGAACTAGTAAGTAAAACATCCGCTGTCTAGAGAACCACGATGCTGCTTGATGATTTCTGTGGAAATTTTGATATTTCGTTCTCGTATTCCAAGATGAATGGCGATGGGTTCGGATTATGATATCACCCAAGCCAGATGGGCCGAGAGCTTATCCATCCATTAATGTTTTTTTTTTATTGCTTAGATAGATAGACGAGCTCACAGCCCACCTGGTGTTAAGTGGTTACTGGAGCCCATAGACATCTACGACGTAAATGCGCCACCCATCTTGAGATATAAGTTCTAAGATCTCGGTATAGTTACAACGGCTGCCCCACCCTTCAAACCGAAACGCATTACTGCTTCACGGCAGAAAAAGGCGGGGTGGTGGAACCTACCCGCGCGGACTCACAGGAGGTCCTACCACCAGCGATTACGCAAATTATAATTTTTGCGGGTTTCATTTTTATTACACGATGTTATTCCTTCACCGTGGAAGTCAATCGTGAACATTTGTTGAGTACGTATTTCATTAGAATATGTTCTAGGATGACTAAAGAAATAACATGTCATTGGAATAGGACAGAGCTGGTTTTTGTTAGAGAGTTCTTGGTATTCAATCTCAAATAAAATGCCTATTAATCCTCCTTGAGGTAGTAATTATGCAAAATGAAGGTTACTGTAGCTAGGTATTAAATTAACATTTACAGCGAATATCAAATGTTAGTTAAGTACGATAATAGTTCATGTCATTGGTGCAAATAGATACATACATACTTCATTGTCCTGAATGAATTAGTAATAAGAATTTTATGTATCGGGTCATAACGGAGAGTAAGTAATTCTTTATATTTAGCAAAACATTTACACAGCTGTTGACGTAACACTTAATGGAAAAAATACGTGGAAAAACACAAACGTGGTTTTTAGCAAAACGTCTCCAATACAAAACCATAATATGGTTAATGTATATTGATACTGAAAAATCTACAAAGTAAATTGACAAGTTACCGTTCCGAGAAACTGAAACCGGTCAAAAGAGCATTGGAAATACCTATAAAAACTCAAAGTAAACCCGAATTTTTTGATACTTTCGAGTATGCGCTTAGCAGTTGCTAAGGTCTTTAATGGACATATTTTGATCCAAGTATCAAATTTATTATAACAACACCCTTTACACCTTACACTTTGGACTAGAACGCGTGATCACTTTGCGCCAGAAATGGTTAGCATATTAAGTTTATCAATGTTAGAAATAGCACCAATTTAAAAATGTAACTCTAACCAGTTTATAATATGATCTTGGTAATAATATTCTGGGAACCTATTAATTAGAAACCATTACGAGTTTAAAATCACGGCTCCCGAGGTGGTCCTATTAAAGCTTCCTTAAGGCTAATCCGAAGTAGTCGTGTCCTGCCTAATTTTTGTTTACTGAGCGTGTGGAGCGAAATGGTATCGTACAACGAAATGTATTTTGGCATCAAGAACAAGACAAAAGTTCTACCAATAACCTTCCATTGTGTGTTCAATGTCAAGATGTACAACGCCACTCACCGAATAGTATGTATGAGTTTGTTGTTAATGATGTTTAACATGAGATAAAAATAATAAAATAAGTAAAATCAATAGCTCAGATTTATAAAACATTTATAGTATTTGAAGAGAAGTCTAAAGCAGTAAATCATTATTATTGAAATAAAATAAAACAGAAACGAAATGATAGTAAAGGAAATGAATTTTGAAGTAGGTATAGCTGATCTTGGTCGAATTTCGAGTACTAGATGCACACTGGTTATAAATTATAAATAGCGAAAGCACGGGTTCAACGTCTTTTATAATTGATGTATGTTTAAATGTATATAGCCATTTTTCGCTTTACATTGCGAGTTTATGACATGTGAACATGTCTTAATGACAAGTAAATATTTGCTTAGCTCGGTAAATGAATGCTGTTTTCTCTTTATGGTGAGATTGCCTAAGCTATACCGTTTCTGGTTCGAGAATGATCTCTTTCCACCCGATATACTTTACTTAGCAACAGCCAATAAAACAAATTCACCCGTGGAGTAAGCTTGTCGATACTGACTGAAATTGTATAAGCGTATACTTACTATACTAACTACCTACTGTTTGTCATTGTTCAAAGAATTTTCATTACCATAGTTGACACACGACACGGCGACTGTTATCAAACGTGTCGACAACATTCGTACCTGGCACGGCGCACGCACACTATTGACTGTGTACAGCATATCCATATATGCACTGCACGTGTAGCTTATCCACCTTTGTACTTATATCTTTTACAAAAAATGGCGACACCCGTACATGTTAGTCCATTCAAACATTAACAACACGAACGATTAACATACAAGATGTCACACTAATAAACGTTCAACTATTATTATCTATATGTAAAACGTAGGCTTAAAAAAACTATCACTGTCTAGTCGTTCATGCAGTAAAACATATGTACGTACAAAGGTACAATGTTTTCGTAATAGACAGCACGATCTGGGAATGAGGAGCCATTCCCTTAATTTTTGTATGTATATTCTTATATTATTATATAGTCAATAAAATTTTAATTTGCTCTTAAAAGAAAAAGGGCATAGAATGAGTGGTATTTAAAAACAATACTTCAGTATTTTAGTTTGGCCTGTTCTTCTCAGAATTGTGTGCATTCTATGGAACCAATGGTAGTTATATAAAACATGTTTTGATGTTCAACAAATATAGTTTATTTAAATTTAAGTTTTTATATTTCTTTTTGATGAAAGTTTACTGCTATGTCTTGTTTTTTATTACTCTAATTGGACAGAAAAGTCTACCGTCCACTATGGTGTCTTTAACTTGAATTACCATTATTTTATCATTTTTAATTAATTAAATGCAGTGAGTTGTTATGAAAACTACAATAACTCTAACAAACGCATACACGTATGTATATGATTATTCCTCATTGATTTGACTATGGATTAAATATAACAAATTAAAAGAAAAATATATAAAAAATTAGCTAATGTTATGTTAGTTGATTAAAATACTGATCGGAGAATAATGTCACAATTTAAATGGCATAAATAGAAATTAAAAAAAGACGGTACAAAAATACTTTATTTTATTAATTTAGTCATGTATTACACAGGATGCTTTTTATGCTTTTAAAAGTAAGCGTTACAATAAACAAGGGTTAATTAGAATCAGTATTTTTTAGGGCTTTAATAATATACAATATAAATTTGCGTGATTAGTCTGTTCAGTTTACAATACTTTTTCGATTACGATCTATAAAGAAGTTGCCATGGAACTGCTCTCTTCATGATACTGGCTGGTCATAAAAACCCCTCAATCAATTACATAAATCTGTTTTACTTTGGCTCTTTGGATTGGTATTAAAAAGAATGCGAACTTTTTTTTTACGAATAGGCACGAACAAATGTACATGGTCCTCGAGAATTCTTAAGCTCTTCAACTAATTAACAGTATTTTTTTTTCATGGAAAGCTATCAGCAAAGTCTTCTTTTTAAAGAGATTCCAATAAATAATTTCGAAAACCTAGTCAAATTTTAGTAAACCCCTCTAAAATATTTATATGAAATAAAAGCATCAGCTCCGTGAAGAAATCCCACAATGAATCCGATGTACTGAAAACAGAAAAAAATAATTAAATGGAATACTATTAAAATTAACATTGAACAATTCTGAATTTGTATATTTTTAAATAATTTATGTACAGCATCAGAAGGCCTCCGACAAGGTGAAACGACGATCTTTTGAAGGTCATAGGAATCAATTGGATACTGGCAGCACTGGATCCGCCATTCTAACAAACCTTGGGAGAGGCTTGTGTGCAACTGTGATTATCTGTTGGTGAATTTCATACTAGAATGTATGACTGCTTCTTGGCAGAATAGACAGAATGGGAGAACATAGCATTGCGGCCTCAAATACTGGTGGTATTTATCATATGTTTCACTACCGTTGAAACTTAAAGTAAGCCTCATCAGTATTCAAACATAGTAGACAATTAAATGAAATTTAAATTAGAAATAAATTACATTGTAGACAGAATCATGTAACTGTTTACTTATGTAATATAAAATTTCTCACAACTTTCACGGCTAATAAAATTATTATGATTTGATTATTTTTATGATATTTATGATATGATTATTATTATGATATGATTTGGGCCCTAAATCTATTAATCTATTTATTACTTTCTACATTATTCCAGATCACCATGTAAAGCTGTAACTTAAGCTAAACTCTAAACTGAATCAGCAATTCAGAAGTATGGGAGATTGTTTAAAATTCAAACACTAGTAGTATTTTCAAAACATCGCGAGTACTTTCACTGAAAGTTTATTTTATTCTAGACCCTTTGTGAATGGGAAGGTCATTCACCTTCACTGCACGGTCCGCTAGCTCTGTCTGACATAGTTGTTACGTAATAAGCCCAGAAGTCTTGTAAATTATTTTAGAAACATGAGCTGCTTGCAATTTCTGTCATGAATCAGTATTGCGTTTCGGTTTGAAGAATGGGGCCAACATAGTAGGGTAAAACTGAGACTTAGAACTCAAGTCCCAAGGGGGGTTACAGTATTTATGTTGTTGACGTATTAACCATTAACCATTTAATAATACTAGATAGACCGTGAACTCGTCCATCGATTCAAGCAATAAAAAACAGACAGAGAGTTCAATTTAGCTTAACTAGTCATCGGAACCCATAAACACCCAACGTAAATTCATAGCATTCACATTGGATCTATGGACTCAAGAAAGCACTCAACATCTCGTTGCACGGGAAATCATCTGCTCAGCCAAAGAAGCAATTGGCTATTAATGCAATCGGAATATCACAAAAAATTGTGATACTGCTAAAAACTTTGAACATTAAAGCCCGTAAACAGTCTAAATATAACACGCCTGATTTTGATCGCATTATCTTTTATCGTTATAATTTTGATCATATCTAGATTGCTCATTGTTTGATGAAACGCAGCAATCAGTCATATTTTTCAGACAACTTACGTAAACGGCCGTCATAGCAGGATAGGCTGCGTACATATTAACGAGAGCGTACTTATGGTACAAATAAAGGTTCACTGCCACTCCCATGTACGAAGACGCTGAGAAGTAAAGGAAACACGCCACAGCATTAAATAGGCATTCCTGAAAAAGAAAAAGAAATGTAAGAACAGGCTCGTACAAATAAATGTACATTCTAAAAGTGATATAATGAAATACACCAGTCAAGATGCATTCGAATAAAGTTTACCGATTTCTTTTTTTAACGAAATTTTATATCGAATTTTATTAACAGTGAATTATTTTGGGCATAGAAGATATCGATATGGGATCTAATGAAATACGTACTTAACAAATGATTGACTTCCACGGTGAAGGAATAACATCGTGTAATAAAAATCAAACCCGCAAAATTATAATTTGCGTAATCACTGGTGGTAGAACCTCTTGTGAGTCCGCACGGGTAGGTACCACCACCCCGCCTATTTCTGCCGTGAAGCAGTGATGCGTTTCGGTTTGAAGGGTGGGGTAGCCGTTGTAACTATACTGAGACCTTAGAACTTATATCTCAAGGTGGGTGGCGCATTTACATTGTAGATGTCTATGGGCTCCAGTAACCACTTAACACCAGGTGGGCTGTGAGCTCGTCCACCCATGTAAGCAATAAAAAAAAAAACCTCCTCAAGATTCTACTAGTTCGAAGCATGAATACATTGCGGTTTGTAAATATGGACCAACAGTCCAACCATGTAGTAGAGACAATATTTCAATGTGGGTGACGATAATGGCACTGCAATGGAATTACAATGAGTACTCTGAAATTCGGGTGATGCCAAAGATGAACACAACCGGAAACATATGGCTGTATATAACGTAAAGAAAAAACTTATATATATTTAACATGACTCACAAATATGGATTGCCGTATTAACTGCTGTGTTTTTGAAGATAGCACGTAGCATGCGATCAGAAGAGATGTCGTAAGAAGACAGGCGGAGGCTGTTGTCAAGAAACTGTGGAAGGCAGATCCTATGCTGTTCGCTTCTGACATACCATACTTTACCAGTAGACTTTGGCAAAGACCACCGAGCATCTGGAAGCAAATTTTCTTAGATTAAAATTGATAGACAATGTTTTTACTTATTTTGTTTATATTTACAGAAAAACCAAATCCTTTAAGGGAATACAAATTACATCAGACCAATTAGAGTTACAGTAAATAGTCCTTAATTTAATCAAGATATAATAATAACAACTATATATTAGTTCGCTCGAACTACGAGTATTAGAGGTTTGCACTGTAAAATAGTGACAATTTTAAAATTAAAAATTAAACTTGCATGTCCAAGACTTTAAGAATGCATTTATTGCCAAGACTTTAAGAATATGTTTGTTGCACAAAAAAATTACATTTCAAATTCAATGGTTCTATGATGTTTACTCTCAATTGCTTTTAAATTCAGTATTAAATTTCCACATCTCGTATAAAACATAATATACAAAAGTAATTTCCGATTAAAAGTTCCGAACATTTCTATCCCGACAAAGACAGGTCGTAAAATCAATGCTGAGTTTGGAGAAGGTAAGGATTAATCGGACTGTGAGTTTCTTGTTCTATAAACTTCAACTCGGAAAATAAGGCATGAAGAAGATCATGCACTAAAGCCAATTAATTAAATGTAGCAACCCAGGAACAAAATTGAAGTCAGGATGTGACGTGAGTTTACAGTACTTTTACTTTTTACATTGTAACTAATTACTTGATAAAATTGAAACTTCCACTTGCGATCACGGCCTGGTTGCGGCGAGCGGAGTTTATTGTTAATAATAGAGTTCAATTTGCCGCACCAGAGACAAAACTCCTTCAAGGCAACGGATGTGATGCGAAGCGTTTATTCCATCACCTCACCCCGCTCGAAAAACAGGTTGATATTTGATGTTTAGATGGTTAACATTACAAGACCTGCAATGGCTACAGTTCAAAGTGTAAACTGGACTCACAAACCATACATCATCCTCTATACTCGCTAGGCTAGGCTAGACCTACCATTATTACCAAATCGGTTCTATAAGGAAAAATAATGTTCTCAGGAAGCTGTACAAAATGCCTTATAAGCTTTGTATAAATCCCCATAGTTCTATAACAAAGACATAAATATTAAAGAGCTCGGGGATGGCGAAAATGTCTAGATAACCACGATTAAATATTACGATCAAATAAATCTAATTTTTCTTATAAACGTTTGAATTTTTTAAATTCAAACCATGTATTTCGTATGAATCGTCCATATCTATCATCTGGAATATAAATACCCGAAAGGATGAGTAATATAAGCTGATTTCAGCAGTAATCTGATTTCGACGAACGCTGTGGATATATAGGACCTACTGTTATATAGTATACGTTGAAAATTTTAATCAGTTTTATGTTGCAACAGAACAATTTCAAATTGGAAGATATTTTACATTAACGAACTTAATTCTGAATAAACTATAACTGTGTATATATAAAACGATTTTTAAAAACTTTTCTTTTTAAGCTATCTACCTAATACTGATAGATTTTGTTTTTTTGGGGACCAATTTTAGAGTATTGAATTTTATTGAACCTTTCAAAACTAATTCGCACGTAAAAAAACTCGTTTGGATTCGTTGTTTAAAAGCAAATTCTTAAAACAATTGCTACTTTTAAAATCTTAGATATATTATTACTTTTACGAGAACAATAAATTAGAACAACTTCAGGATGAATTTAGAAGCAAAATAAAATATAAAATAAAATAGTTTAACTAATACATGCAACAACAGAAAAACACGCAAATGGTAAGAAAAACAAAAAAAATGAAACTTACAGCTTCGGCTAACTTGATGATGCCATGATTTGAAATTAAGTACCCGAAATTGAGACACTCACAACAGCGACAACAGCAGCACTTGATTCCTCTTGACCCGCCTCCCCCTGGAGCCACCCGAACTATAGTCGGACCTCTGGTCATAGTAAAGTTATCGAAATAACTAAAATTATTTAACTGAACACCAAATAGTTTTTACTTTGTAAAAACCGCCGTGTTTTTTAATGTAGTACAATTTTACACAAGTATTCGCGCCTGTTTGATACACGTCATCGCAAAAGTTCAGGAAGTTCTAATTCACATTCGGGAACACATACACCGCAAAATATTTTTAGAATTTTACGCACACAATAAAAGTTCACCGAACTCTTGACCCGTTATTTTTTCATAAATCAAAAATTGTTTTTTAGATATATGAATTGGAAATGTACGTCGTATTTATAATACTTCAAATAATTTGATTTAAAAGAGATGTGGCTCTCGACTTGAACTAATTTTGAATGTGGCTCGTGCATGCCACACGCACGTCCCTTTATTACCAAAATAGAACATTGGCGTTCAGGAGGGTTAATGTCTATTTACGTTTTAATTATTACACTTAAAAAAAATATGGCTATATTTGGGTGGAATGAAACAAAAGCTAAAACCATTAGCCAACTGCACTGCAACCTGCACTTCTGTATCTTTTATTACCTCCGTTTTCGGTTGACTAGCACTCACTTGATGGTAAGTCGTCGGTGTCGATCGTGGACCTCAGCAACGCTAGAGGTCAGCCAAGCCGCTGCCTAAAATTTATCTAAAGTCATTAAGTAATGAGCCCAGATTTTATCTGAAGCCAGTTAATGGAAGGACTAAATCGTGGAGACGCTCAAAAAAACACTACAACCAATTCAATATTTTTATATTAGTTAGTGAGATAGTCTGGAGCATCGGTTATATTAAGGGAGAGGTATTTATGTTTGCACGTAAAAAACCATCCATGTCTTGTGATTGAGTGTCTAACAACGGCACAATATAAAATAGTTTTGGAAGAAACTGTAGTACATTTTGCCCCTTTTATTATGCAAAGAGCAAATCCATAGACAAATGACATTACAATCTGATGGATTTATATCTTGCACTACAATGCCGCCGTGGATGTCAAATACTTTTGAGACGTTGAAATCAATACTATGGAGTAGCTAGCGCACTTACCTGACTTGAACCCTATTGTGCATGTGTGGGATGAGCTTGAAAGGGCAACTAGAAAAAATATTGTCCCGCCTAATTTGAGAGGTTTGAAAAACGCATTACAGGAAGAATAGAACGCAATCTCTAGTCTTATTGATAACTTGTTTGAAGGGATGCGAAGGAGATTGAAAGCAGTTCGAATAGCTAGACTTGGCAACAATCGGTACTGACTGCGTATAGGCAATTGTTAGATTTATTTATTTTTTCCCTACCTATTCGCTGGTAGTCTAAAAGGCTACGCTATGGATGGTTGGTGAGCTCACGGTGCTCAACCGAGATAATTTGCTAACACTCACCATACTCTCAACTAATTCCTTTTTTTTTTTACCTTCCTATTCAAGGTTATAGCTTTGAGAGGCTATTTCAGCTTTACCCTAGCGTGTAGGTGAGCTCTCGGGGCTTAAACCGGAGGTGTTACTAACACTGGCCCCGGCAAGAGTAGTGCTTCACATAATATACCACCGGATCGAAATCGCAACCCACTGAGAAGATCTGGCTAGAAACTCTGTAGGTTGTATGGTTTAGGTTGCTTGTCGGATTCCTTCTACGAGTTTTAATTAGGATGGTAACCGGGGGTTGACGAGATTAAAAGCACGTTGCGTTGCTCCGTCGTCGCCTGGGTCGGATTTATAATTAGCAACGGCCACGATAAGAGTGGGTTATCGTGTCGCACCGCTTTTTCCAAGTGGCAATCTGACACTTCGATTACGAAAATCAGTTCTTACATTTAATAACAAATATTTGTGATGTCTTGTTTTATTCATCGCTTTACACATTTAACCTTAATGTATTTCTAGTATTATAACTTTTTATTTATACATCTGTATATATACAGAGGAACATGTAAAATAAAAGAAGATCAATTCATTACAAAAGTAAAAACATTTATTACAGCACCATTACATTTTTTAGCATTTTAATAAGTATTAATGTCATCTACTAGAAGAAAATTGAAGCTACTGTGTAAATGTTACAGCTCTTTTCCTAATGAAGAAATTAATTAAGTAAATTAATCATTTTTTTATCATTTACATCTTGCGAATTAATTTAAAGTCTTAACACATGCTGTTTCAAGATAAATAATATTAATCGATTAATTTTTAATTGAAAAATTTGTAATAAATGAATATTAATTTGAATGGAAAAACCGTATTTGGTCATCGTTCAAAGGAAAATAAAAGGGGAGTAACTAAAAATTGAGAATAGAAATAGCGATTTTAGTATAGTATTTTCTGTCTCTATGTCTATTTGTTCACGCACATCTCCTCACATCACAGCTTTCTGTAGTAGATTGGAATTGTAACCCACAGACACAGCCCACTGAGTTTCTCGCCGGATCTTCTCAGGGAGTCGCGTTTCCGATCCGGTGGTAGATTATGCGAAGCATGCTCTTGCCAGGGCCAGTGTTAGTAACACCTCCGGTTTAAGCCCCGAGAGCTCACCTACACGCTAGGGTAAATCTGAAATAGCCTCTCAAGGCCTTGAATAGGAAGATAAAAAAAAATTAGGAATTAGTTGAGAGCAGCATATATGCTATGTTTCATCAACACCTTTTGTTGCAAAAAAGTTAACGTTATAAAAATTGTTTTGTAATGCGCCCGGGACACCAAAACCGGTCGCATCAGTCACCACTCACCATCAGGTGGATCGTATGCTCATCTGCCTATTAAAGCAATTTATAATAATAACACTATTTTATCGCCTATAAAAAAAGACGAACGACCTTAAGTACATCTCATTTTTTCGCGCCAAACCGTTTAAAAAAAAATAAAAAAAAATTAACAATATTTTATGTTTCTACTTTATTTTGAGTTTTAAGTAAATATAAAGGTTCGACAGTTTCATAGTTCCTTTTATTTACTTATAATATGAGAGATATAAATTTACTGTAGAAATCTATAATTAAATAATTAATAAGTAATAAAACATCGGAAGCAAAAGTTAGCTTCTATGAATTTAAAATAAAATAAGTAAAATACTTGATTACATTTCATCTCCGAATGTTAAGTTATAAAAGTACTAACAGCATAACAATATTTTTTTGTTTAATGACTAGTTCATACATAGTTTACTAATCAAAAATTACAATATAATATAATATTTAACCAAGAAAACAAACTAAAATTAAAATGTTACGTTACTTACTATGGGCGTAGATAGTACATAGTAGATAGTAAGTATATCTTCTAACAAAATCTTCATTTACTATTAATAAAAATAAAAAAAAGTCCTATTTCAACTCTCTGAAATTTATATAGATTTATTGTTAATATCAGATCAGTACAAGGTGTAAAAGAACCACAACGCAGTAACCGATTAAACTTCTAAGTACTCTCATAATATAAATAATAATTTATATTCTATGCTAGGCTAAGTTTGTAGTAGTAACTTAAAAATATATAAATATACGAATAAAACTGTTTGACTTGATTTTTTTTATTTACTTCAATTTTTTTTTTTTTTTCAGTGCTATAGGCGAGTGCTATAGTCCATTTGTGAAAACTAATGTAAAATGAAGATAGCCGGCATGGTTCGCCTAAGGTGAGGACATTAGGTGAACATATTACGATTTAAATTCTATATGGAATACCATATGATAAGGTAGTTACAGTTATTAGAAGGGCTCATGACGAGATAGAATAGAAACGAGCTGGATGGATGGATAGAAACAATACTTGCATTGCTCAATATATCACGTAAAATAGTGTCTGCTTAGTCATAAATTAAAAACACAACGATAAATAAACCGGAAACTGTTGAATCACAACTGTCGAAAAAAATATTTTTCATCTTCGCTTTTTATGAGCATACGTGATAAAAAGTGATATGAGCAACTTCGTCCTCCAGAGATAACGGGACATTATATATTTGTCAGCACTCCTTATAGAGAAAATTCTGTGGCCACTCCATGTACGCGATAAAGAGACGCTAGTCCACTTGGATCGCTACAATGAAATTAAGTTTTTTCAAATCGAACGATAAATAACTTAACCGCTTTCCATCTGTAACTTAAAGTAATATGGCAACTGAGAATGCTACTACGATAACTTAATTCGAAGACAAAGCTCATATTAAAATTGATAGTTTTCTTGCTTATATTCCACGGTATCTGCGGTTTGCCAAAAAGGTGCTCAAAAGATACAATCCAGCCATCACCAGACCCATTATCTGAAAAAATAAACAAATGACCTACATAAACACAAATAATATTAAAATTTATTTATGTTCATTACATTTATATATATTATAAGATATCGAACTAAAAACTTGTTTTCTCAAAGATGTATTTAGCCCATGTACTTATTTTCTAATTTAATCAAGTCGTCCCGTAGTGTCCGAGATTTTGTTTTATATTTTTATACTACATATTACATATTATTATAAATATATAAATGTTATGATAAAAATGATACACTTTCTAATTTGCACTATAGAAGTAGGGAAAACAGAGGAAAAAAACGTAAAAATCGTAAATTTAAATAATTGTTTATTCGTTTTGGGTCTCTGTGGGTTGCGATTCTAATGATAGATTCAGAATAGCACTACTAATGCTGAGGCAAATCCTCTCAAGCTGAACCCCTTGATCTCGCCCAACAACCAAGACAATTAAAAAAACAAACTTATAGAAGTCGTCGTGGCCTAACGGATAAGACGTCCGGTGCATTCGTGTTGAGCGATGCACCGGTGTTCGAATCCCGCAGGCGGGTACCAATTTTTCTAATGAAATACGTACTCAATAAATGTTCACGATTGATTTCCACGGTGAAGGAATAACATCGTGTAATAAAAATGAAACCCGCAAAATTATAATTTGCGTAATTACTGGTGGTAGGACCTCTTGTGAGTCCGCACGGGTAGGTACCACCACCCTGACTATTTCTGCCGTGAAGCAGTAATGGTGGGCTGTGAGCTCGTCCACCCATCTAAGCAATAAAAAAAAAAAAAAAAAAAAAAAATAAAAAAAAATCTTACCGAAGCTGCCAAAAACGGTTCAAAATCTCTTCTATATCTGGTTTGGTGATTAACTTCTATTAGCAAAGTAAGTCCAGCACACAAATACAGAATAAATGCGATTCCATGATAAATAACTTCCTGTAATAAACAGAAGAAAAATATTTTTAAATAGGTAAATAGAATACTCGTACTATTTTGATGATGCCTACCTACACTACTTACTTATAAACGAAATAATTTTAGAAATATCACTGATCAAATTACGAAGAAAAAATAAATTAAGTTAACAGTATTTTTCTTTTTTCAGATTTTATAGCCCGAATGTAAATAAGTATGTAGGTATATGTATGTATTTCATTTTTAATATTGAGAACATTGAAATATTAAGAATATAATACATTCTACTGTTTAATGTGAGTCGTAGACACAAAACTACTTTTTCACGATTTAATTTCGCTTTTTTTAAGGTCATTACTTTACAGTTTTTGTGGTCCCGGACAACGGACAGCCTACGAAAACTAGTTGTTTTAACTATTTTAAGAATACCTTCAGATTCTGCTTAGGTGCTTCTCAATATTCGCATCTTAATACTACTACTACATATACAAACAACGTCACAAATTACTATGTGAAATACATAATAATATGTAGATTGATGATCATTATGGTGTTTTCATGGGCGTATGTTTTTTGTTTATTGTGTTGTCTGCAAACAACGCGATGCGCTATAAACAGACGTGCGGTAAGATTTGACCGTGTTAATGTTATTTTTGTAACGCGGGATGCGTTCAAACGCGAGCCGATCAACAAATTAAAAATTGTTTTTAGACGAGATGTTCGACCAACAATACATATTCTCATAAGATTAATAATAACAAAAGGTATATCTATCAACTTAGCCCACGTTAAGCGTATGTATTTTCCTTAAATTATCAAATAAGCTTTATTGTTCGCGGTTAAGCAATTTAGTATATATCTATGCATAAATGTAGGAAAATATACCGATATTACGAATATATACTTTCAGATATAACAGTAAAATGATAAAAATATTATATTCTTTCAAAATAAGCCTCTTGTTATATTGTTTACTACCAATTACTAATTAGTTATTAATATTTTTTATTTTTAATAATCTCTTAGTTATATTGTAGATATGAATAGTTAACAAAGACGTCCTATAAAACCATCTAGAGGTTTTGAGTGCCAGTAACATTAACATTTAGTCTCTTGTGATAATTTACTCCAATTAAAAAACAAACAACAACAAACAAACAACAAACAAACAACAAAGTTTTTGACGAAGCATGTTGCTGATAACTTTATTTCTGTAATCTGACGAAGCATGTTGCGGATAATAACATGTACTTTTAGGTTAGGAATATTATGTTCTTTTTTTTTATAATAAATAAATACCAGTCTGTATAAAAAAAAAAAAAAAATTTAAATTATGTTAGACCAAGATATATTCTGCATATTTTCAAAGAGATTTTCTCTTTTCTTTTTAAACTTGTCGTTATCAACACCGTCTTAAACAGGCAAAGATCCTAGAAACCTCATAACTACCCCTGGAGTCACAAGAAGTAAGTTATGCCTCCGCTTGTAATTTAATCAATAAATGAATTATCATTGCCCTAAAATAATAACTTCCAGTGCCATTATAAAAATCATTAATCAAAAGTTTAAAAAAAAATCTTGATTGTACTTATTACTGTACTTTAGGAGTGGGTAATATCGGTTTTTCCGCGTATCGAATCGTATCTATATATCGAGGATCAATATCGGATATTGAATTTATATATTTTCTGAATCTATATATTGATGGATGCTAGTGGATTTTCTCGATTCATGATATTTGAGATTTGAAACGATACGCTGATATAATATCGTAGTAGATATAGATTTAAGTCAACGTTATACGGTTGGTTTTCTGATATCAATTTATAATATGATCATAAAGTAATAAAAAGAACATGAAAATAAAAATATCAAAAAAACTTTCCTTCATGCTTTTACCAGGCTTAGGACTGGCTACATTATTTTCAGTTTTTAGTATTTTGTGTCTTAATTTAAAATTACAAAATATACCAAAAGAGTGTAGATTTCAAAAGTTTAATACAAACACAAGAAATAAACTCAATTATTTGGATTCAACTAAAAATAGAAAAATGTGTACTTTAAAAATCAAACACAAAAAACTTTTAAGTATTTATAAACACTTGTCCAAAAATTCTAGTTCAAGGTCAAAGCGCGTGAAATTAAATTCAACGATGCAAATAGGCTATACTGCATTCAAGTTAGGGTCGAAAGTTGAAACTTCTTTCCTTAATTGTATCCTGCTGATACGCTAAGAATAATCTACAGACATATGGACTTAAATATAAGGTTTACAATTGTATGGATAATGCCTGTTTCTGTTTCATTCATCACATGATATCCCTATCGTGCGCTCACTCACTCTGGCCGATTCGATACGAACCAAACGAATATTGCTGATATTCACGAATCGGTACGATATGCCGATGCGCATCACATCGAGCAATATCGTGTATCGGCTGATATCGAAATATAGATTTCGATTCACGAATCGGTCCGATATGGCGATGCGCATCACATCGAGCAATATCGTGTATCGGCTGATATCGATATATAGATTTCGTGCGGGGCGATATCGGATTCAACGATATTGCTGCGATATATAGATATTGAATCTATATACGATTTATATCACCCACTCCTACTGTACTTATTAAAAAATATTTTACACGACATACTTACATAAATGGTTTTAGAGATAACGGTTGCGGTGGCCAAGGATATTAAGCACGACAACAACAAACAGAATGTTCCTATAAGGAATGTGACCGATATCAACAAGAAGAATAACTCAGGTTTGTATGATTGCGTTGAGTATCCGTGATCCATGTAGTAGGCAACCAGAGCCACGCATGCTATCCCAAGGAGCTGAAAATACAAATATGACTATATAACTACATCATAATTAAAACTATTTAAAAATAACACGGCAGCTAACGATATATTATTCAATCATTGGAAATAGTAAAACCTCCTGTTACTTATTCCTTTTAAAAAAAGAAGGGAAAAAGTAATTTTAATTATATTTGTAACTCAGGAAAGCCTTGTCGTTTGTACAATTTGTTTTTTGATAAATTTCTTCTACTTCATGATAACTATCGATGCAAACGTTTGCACTAAACATTGCTGGAGAGTCTTATATGACAAGATTCAACAACCCTGGATTAAAATTGGCAAAAATAAAAAATTATCGTGCTCAGGCTATAATGCCCACTTTTAAATATCGGCTTCTCTATGAGTACGCAACTATGGCAATCTTATATATCTGTCGTCCCTATCCTAAATACAATTTACATTAACACGTACATAATATATTGACATTGTTAAGTACATACAAAATGACATCATGTCGTTTTCAAATCGTTGAAAATTATACATTTTACGCGCTAATGCTTAAATTGAACGTTTAATGTTTATTCTTGGTTTTCCGAGAATAGCACGCGGGTATGAAGTCATCCTAGCTTCTCGTAAAATTTGAGGCCAGAGAAAGACTGCAGTTAAAGCGCCCAGCATACATACATACAGGAACGTAATCTCAATAAAGTTCAAAATTCAAGTTTAAGACGGCTAAACAAATTGTTGAGAAAGTAAAAGAGGACGCACCATTTCGATCAGCTGAACTTTTTTTTGACGGGAAATTGTAATTTGTGAACATAAAAAATATAGCATATTTTATCTACATAGTAACACACATACAATTATATATACATACATTTATATATCATCATCATCATCATCATCAGCCTTTATCTGCCCACTGCTGGACATAGGCCTTCCCCAATGCCTTCCACATAATGCGGTCCTCCGCCTTCCGCATCCAACGACTTCCTGACTTATTTATATATCGATTGTTTGTAATAAAAAGCAAGCCTTAATTACTCTCATATCACAACAATTCGTGTTTATATGTCATTAAATATAATAATGGTTAAATTTATTAATTCAAATGATCTTGTTTTGTCGGAACGAAACAGGCAATTACTTAAATAACACAATTTTCTGGTTCAAGGAAATTAATTTGTTTTATTGAACATGACTCATTTTTATTGGACTATGTATATAATATAGACACTGATAATTACGTCAGCGTGACATCATTCAGAATATCCACTGACGAATCAAAATTTATTTATAGACACAAGTAGTTGATTAATTTGACAGGGTAGGAGATGATACGCCTTCTGTGGACCTTGGACGATAGTAAATTCTTGAGTTTAATAGCATTTGAACTAAACGCCTCCATTGAACGAGATTACTTTGGCCAAGAGCTCAAAGGAAACTACATCTGAAAGTCATACTGAAACGTTCCGGAAACGGGGTGTCAACATAATGCTCTCAGTCTTCGGTCGAATAAACCAAGAACCCTAACAACGATCAACAAACGAATTGGGTTGGAGGCGTTTTCGAGCAGAGAGATGGCCAGGACGACCGAAACCCAACCCTAACTTTTCCATTAAATAATTAATTCCAAAACTATTTTACAATTTTTAAACACTTACGAATTGCGCTAATTTGAGTAATCCTGGCAGCGTCTGAAGGTAGCCCGTGTTCACGTAAACAGACGTGCCGGAGGTCGCGACGGTCGTCCTAGTAATGGTCATTGAGCACGACATCGTTTTCTGTAAATCACGACAATACAATACAATACAATACAATACAATGCCTTACCTATGTACCGTAGGCAGCATTAAAACGATGATTTGAAGATTTTAACAAGCTCACAAGTAATCATTGCAACTTCAACGTCAGAACTACAAGATTCAAATCGTCGTGACCTAAAGGATAAAGGATTTTTTTTTTATTGCTTAGATAGGTTGACGAGCTCACAGCCCACCTGGTATTAAGTGGTTATTGGAGCCCATAGACATCTACGACGTAAATGCGCCACCCACCTTGAGATATAAGTTCTAAGGTCTCAGTATGGTTACAACGGCTGCCCCACCCTTCAAACCGAAACGCATTTCTCCTTCACGGCAGAAATTGGCGGGGTAGTGGTACCTACCCGTGCAGACTCACAAAAGGTTCTACCACCAGTAAAAATAAGCCTAAAGAACACATTATATGGTACTAGCGACCCAGTCTATCAATGCAACTACATATTCCTATATTCAAATCAATTTTTCTAATGAAACACTCATGTTTACTTGAGATGAACACTCATGTTGCTATGTTTATTTTGGTAATGTAATTATAACCTAGTGTTTATTTTCACTCATGTCTACTATATAATTCTTTAAATTATCTCCCTGCATTAACTTTATCACAGCTACGCCCTTCTTGAATCTTTCACTTCCTCAACGAGGGTTAACTGGAAGAGAATGCTTACATGGCGTTCAAGTTCGTCTTTGTACAATATTTGTGCACTAAAGAATTTTCAATCAATCAATAATTACGTGGATTGACTTCCATGTTATAATTTGCGTAACTATGTAGTTGTGGTAGGACGTCTTGTGAACGCGAATGGGTAGGTATTTACCGCCACCCTCCCTATTACTGCCCGAAAGCTCCTATTTGAAATTCCTATTTGAAAAGAGTTACGCATTTTTAAACCACTAGCGACCCGCCCTCGCTTCGCTTCGGAAACATTAAAACACACATGGAACAAAAAAAAATTAAAAAAAAAATTAAAAAAGTAGCCTATGTTCATCAGGGACAATGTCGGCTTCTAATGGAAAAAGAATTTTTCAAATCGGTCCACTAGTTTCAGAGCCTATTCGAAACAAACAAACAAACAAATCTTTCCTCTTTATAATATTAGTATAGATATAGACGAGAAAGTTAGATCTCATGAAGGCGCGAGACGGCATTTACGTTGTAATGTCTATGGGCTCAGATAACCAGATGACAACAAGTGGTTTATAAACTCGTTGATTAGTACAACAAAACTAATCCCAGTTGTCGTCACAATTGGATTGACGCAACATTCAACGCTTAGAAAATAGAATTTAGGTAGAGTAGATACGCATGTTCAATATTATATACATCCTTTTTTATCGTTTTTATTCCATTCATTCGACGATCCACCAGATTTTAAATTTTCTGATATTTTATCTTAAATATTTCTCTGCGTTTTTTTGTATTACTAGTATAATTGAAATAACTAACATAAAAAAAACTTTTAGATATTTTAATAAAATGTTTAGTCAAATCGCTATAAAATTGTAATTAATTTTACAATCTCACACCTCAAAAGTACTAGTGATGTGATTTTTTTAAAGTAAATGTAAGACCGTTCATGAAGTAATAGGACCAACAGAACAATAATTGCGAAACGGCTTCCCGGAATGGTGTGAGCTCACGCAAAATCGAGATGACGTTTACCTCGAGGTTTCTGTTATAAGGTCACACCGACTGCCATACGTATTGCATACAATATTCCTCCGCAAATGCCCAACAACTTATCGCTCTTTCGAGGTGAAATTAAATAGTTTTATTTTTATTTTCTCGAGTCCTCGACATAAAAAAATCTATTTTCACGATTTAATCTCGAGTTTTTTATTCGAATACGTGATCGGTCGCATCGTCCGTGACCACAGAAACTGTGAAGCATTCGATACATTGCATACGCTGCAGATAATATTATTATAATGAATTTAAATATTTTTTCACAACTACATAAAATAAAATTAATATATTTTAATCCTTTATATGCATTTTTTGCTTTGGACAATCTAATAATTATCTGTAATATTTTTGATCTGACATTGTAATAATATTGTGTTTATTATATATTTAATAATTAATATCATGATATAATGTCTATTATGTACCGAAAATATAGTATTGATGGGAACATAATAACTAATTTTGTTTGTTTGCATGCACCACTAAACATATGAGACCAATTTAATACAGTCGTTCCATGTAAGCTTTCGTTAACTAAATCACTGTGGTAAACATACTTTTAGTTTTGTACACAGAAAATTAATTTATTTCTTTCTCTTTCCCTATGGAGAACTTCTTCGAGAACAAATGAAATTTTGGTGAACAGGACCATGATCGCTGCTGCACCCACAGTCTGACCTTGCCAGATGACTACTAAACAAACAAGCAATATGGAAGCTTTTACGATAAAGAAACTAAAAGATTCTTTATCGTAAAAGCTTCTAATTCTACTAAAAAGATTCTATTCTATATGTTTCTACAATAAAGATTCTATATGTTTCTACAATAATCTTCGATACCATATTTTCCAATAGATGCAATGCCTACTCACAAGAAATATTAAATCCGATAACAAAATTGACTTGTAAATGATTAGTTAGATGATTAAACTCGAATTAACCCAAGTTTAATTATAAACCCATTAGAGTTAAACAATTTAGTAACATTGTATCCAATTCAGAGAAAAGCTGTGGAAAGCTTGCATACACAGATATATTCTCCATTAATATGATGTTTAAAGCTTATAATTAATGAAAAATAAAATAATATTTATAGTCATGCTATCTATTAAATTTACAAATAATAAATACAAATGGAATCTTACATACTTTCTTGATTTCCAAGGAAAAACGGAAAAGCTGAATGCGCGTATTTACGAGCGTGCAATGTCGAAACGACTGCGAAGTGGGCAGTGGGCAACAGACTAACATGGGATGACTCACCTTTTGATCGACATTACGCAGAGGTATACGTTGAAACTCAGCCCGATCTGCGCATACAATATCCCGGTTGCAATGCATAATATAATGAGCAAGTAGTTAAAACTGATTTATAATTCTAGACCTCGAATTATACTAGGCTTTTAGCGGTACCTGTGAATCGCGAAAGACACAAACGCGATAGATGTCACAAAAAAATAAATCCTGCATTAAGTTTAGTGAACTTACGAAATCTGATGATTTATTTTAAAATAAATAAAAGTAAGCGTCGCAAGAAGATCGTACATCTATAAAACGAAAATTTGATTTAAATATGAATAAAACACTGCGTATTTGTCACCAGCTGTTTCAATAAAGTCACGTCAAAGCCTTTTTCACGTTAGTATCCTCGGAATGACTCAGACTGAGTGTGCCAGACTGTCCCCGTAGTGATCGTACCGTGTACCGCGAAAACAAAAGTAAATCGAATACGTACATATAGTACGTACCAACTGTTTTTACTGTCTCTTTGGTGGCAATTCGAAATGCATAATAACAAAAATAAACTACTTAACCACCTGTCAGCCAGAAACTTTGTTAAAGGTATTAAAGGTATTTTCAAGCAGATATTCTTCTTTAATAAGTATGTTTTTAAAACATCTAAAACACGTCTGAGACGCAGTAAAATCTAGGATCAATGAATATAGAATGCTTAACTATAAACTTGTTCCATTTTTTTTTTATGGCAAATGGTAATACGCTATATTGTTTGAAATGAGGACAATCTGGGACTGTCATATAACTCAATTTATTTATTTATTGCATAGATGGGTGGAAGAGTTCACAGCCCACCTGGTGTTAAGTGGTTACTGGAGCCCATAGACATCTACAACGTAAATGCGCCACCCACCTTGAGATATAAGTTCTAAGGTCTCAGTATAGTTACAACGGCTGCTTTACCCTTCAAACCGAAACGCATTACTGCTTCACGGCAGAAATAGGCAGGGCGGTGGTAGCTACCCGTGCGGGCTCAAGAGTTGCTACCACCACTAATTCCGCAAATTATAATTTTGCGGGTTTGAGTTTTAATACACGATGTCATTCCTTCACCGTGGAAGTAAATCGTGAACATTTGTTAAGTACGTATTTCATTAGAAAAAATGGACTGTCATATATGTAAAATGAGAGTTAGACCTCAAATTATGGTTGCTGAACTTCGACACACATGTTGTGCGTGTACACGCAACCACTCAAAAATAATTAGCCTGTAAGCTGACTATTTTTTTTGCTACACTACAGACAGTTTTTGTACACATTGATTCTCTAGCACCGAAAGAGAAAGTAAAGAAAGTGATGGTAGGTGCATTGATTATTTAATTCATGAGAGCCTACTCTCTTGGTCTGCAAATGTCTGAAGTTCAAGGGTCAACTAGAGGTCACTTATGACAACATTAATATTATTAACAGGACGACAGTAGGAAGCCGTCGTGAGCACACTTCGTGTTTTTTTAGATTTTTGTATAATAACATAACATAGTAATATTTTAAAGCATAAAATAACCTCTTAATAAAGCAATTCGTGATATGCTGATTGACAGGTTCGAATTATATCTCTGGTTTAGGAGTATTTGTGGCCGACGAATTGAATTCGATGGTTGTCCGCGTATTATCCTATAGGCAACGTAAATATACCAGTATGTAGCTGCTTGCTTATTCTAATCCTGCCGACGCCGAGTTACACTACAGAAATGATAGCAAGCAGCAAGCAGATAAGCAGACTTGGAAAAATTGCCTCTTCAGATTACAGCGCGAGTATCTTCCGCGTAACAGAGAAGCAAAACGAAAGCACTCTTTATAACCCAGCCATATCATGTCCCACGGCAAGGGGCCAAGTAACTACATATATTGCATTACATTACATTATTTATTATAACGCGTTAAAGTCACTTAATTCCGCTTAATCTAAAACGGGAAGTGGGAATAAGTTATTTAATTTTATAAATATTCATGATATGAAAAAAAAAATATACTAAATTAAACATCGATCCTCCCGTCCACGCTATTTCCCGAAAACTATGATATTATATTCTTTTTCATACGAGGTTTCATTAATGTTCAGCCGCAGGCAGCGAATTGGCTGTGCCCCTGAAATTGCTGCTGAGTATGAGCGTTTGTGTCCATTTGCTATTAGGCGGGCCAAAATTACTCTTGAACCGTAGGTTTCTTAACTGAAAAATTCAAAAAACCCCACTCCAATTAGACTATATTTTATAAACATGAAAAGGTTTGATTGTATACAGACACTTCGGACATCACTAGCCGTATATCTCATTATTTTCTAGCGTTATATATGAGTCGTCTATTATCAAAGCCGGCAATCTGACTTTTGGACAATGATTGGTAAATCAGAAAAACGAATTATTGACTTTGTATTCCATCGGCAGTCACAAAACTCTTCGGAACGATATCTTAGATAAATAACAGGTTAACTATTAACCTTTATTTAATGCAGGTTTTGAACCGTATTCTTTGAAGGAGACGATTATATTCAAATCAATCTGTATTGACATATCAATAAATTTTTTTTGTCCAAATGCACAGATTGCCACCTTTGATAATAGACGACTCATATATAGAACCTATGCCCAGCAATGGGCAGGGCCCATAGCTTGTCGAACAGATGGCAGCTGTGCGCTGATAAAAAAGAAAACTATTAGAGTTTAGACAGAAAGAGAGAGTGATAGAGAGAGAGAGAGAGAGAGAGAGAAATGAACCACATCCCCCCTTCCGTGCAATACGCTACCAACTAGGCCTAAATTAAGCGTGATGAGAATATTTCTAAGTAAGCATACTAGACATTGCTTTATTAGGTTCTATGCTATCAGCAGCAATTAAAAAGTAAACACCTATGAGGTTCCGTTCCTAGAATCGCTGTTTTCATATGAAGCTGTCAGCAATCCACGATTATGGTTCACGAATAAAGCTGTGAAACAATCTGGTTTTGAAATGTTGATATACAACGGTATACGGCTACAATTTTGGACAAACACAATGCACAATAGTCGTCTGTGAAACTACGATTTGCCTATACCAGCTTATTCATGGCTTTGATAAGCGTACGGCTCACCTGGTCTTAAATGGTTACCGGAGACCATAAACACTGGTGGTAGGACCTCTTGTGAGTCCGCACGGGTAGGTACCACCACCCTGCCTATTTCTGCCGTGAAGCAGTAATGCGTTTCGGTTTGAAGGGTGGGGCAGCCGTTGTAACTATAATTGAGACCTTACAACTTATATCTCAAGGTGGGTGGCGCATTTACGTTGTAGATGTCTATGGGCCCCAGTTACCACTTAACACCAGGTGGGCTGTGAGCTCGTCCACTCATCTAAGCAATAAAAAAAAAAAAAAAAAAAAAAAAAAACATCAACAATGTCAATACCGCCACCCACCTTGAAACATGAGTTCTAAGTCTCATTTTTAAGTACAGCGGCTGCGCCACCCTTCAAACTGAAACGCACTACTGCTTCACGGCAGAAATAGGCAGGGCTGTTGTACCTGCCTGTGGGGCCTCACCAGACGTTCTCACACACCACATTCACTTAATAGCTAGCACCTAAGTTTGTACAAGAAACGGCAAATTATAAATTACCAAAAAGAACAAAATTAAAACTACATAGCTGTAGGAATCAAATAAGAGGGTCAGTTTAAATATACATATGTTAAAATATATTTATTAACTTTTTACAATATATTAATTCTTAGTCAGGTTAACAGGCGTTACCCTCTTTAAAGATAGAATAATAATGATACTCAACACTACTAAAATATGTCAATGCTTAAACATAACAAAAAAAAACTAATTTAAAGAGAATTCATATGTAACTTGTATTATTAGCTAACGTGAAATTCCCGTGTGTTCTAAATAAGAAACGTATTTCATTAAATCCCATTCCATGTGAATTCTTTTTTTCAATTCAATTAATTAATTTCTATATGTACCCACTTCAAAAGAAACCTTTTTTCTGTAAATGTGATCAAAAATAAGAACGCTAACAAAGCTGCAATATTTTTCTCTTATTTTTGACAACTTTATTATAATGTAATCGATTTTAAGCGAAATTCCCTTCAAATTTGGAATCCAATCAAATATTAAAGTTACTACTGATAAAAATCACTATTATTTATGTTGTTCAGTAAAATCATTTTACATTTTTTAAATAGACTAGTCTAACAAAATCGAGAAGAACCACATTAAAACGAAACATTCATTTCTATTAACATTTCACCATACACCTTATTGAATAAAATATAAAAAGTATTATATAGGCTCATGTGTCACAAATGTTAACTCATAAAATTTCAAAAGGTAAAATTTCACCAAATATCTCGTATTTACTAGATGTATAGTCAAACAAACAAACTTCGAAGTACAACGTTATTGGTGTGTGCTACAAAACAGACATTTAAAATCGATACAAATGATTCGACATCAGTCGTCATACCCATTTAAGATTATTTGTGCGTGGTCCTTACTGAAGGTGAACCTCGTGTCAATTCTATAAAAAATCTTGCCTAACATCATCATAAATGCCCACTTTCTAGCTAACAACTTATATTAAAACGTTCTATGCATAAACATAACTTGAAATCCTACACAAACTAGCATTATTACAGATTAAATACGAACAAAAATGTACTGTTTAGAATTTTCTTTTAATTTTTAAACATTTTAATTATTTATAATTACATTATATATGGCCATGAACGTCTTATTCACGAACAGAAAATAAATTTTAAATTAGTGCAAATTACAAAAAATTGTACGAAGAATTTTTTTTAATCGTCCGTACCGAAAAACGGTGCTGATAGTAATTAATAGTATTCACATATTTAAATTGCAAAAACGTGTTCGCTTAGATATATAAAAATACAAAATAACAATAAATAATGCGAAATGTGATAGATAAAACACGAAAATATTCTTCATTATCGTTTCGTTATCAAACATTTTAAAAACAAGCTTTTAATTATTCAAATTAGCCCTGGCATTGTGCAATCCAATGTCGATAACAGCAGAAAGAACAACGAGTGGGCATCAACTTATTGATGTTACTTAAACGACACATTAATAAGGCACGTGAAATAGTCAAGATTGTTATTTAAAACTACGTCAAAGTGCACTCATACATTATACTCTAAATACACGACTCCCGTTCCTTCACACATTATACCTTTATTGTATCATTACTGGTGGTAGGACCTCTTGTGAGTCCGCGCGGGTAGGTACCACCACCCCGCCTGTTTCTGCTGTGAAGCAGTAATGCGTTTCGATTTGAAGGGTGGGGCAGCCGTTGTAACTACACTTGAGACCTTAGAACTTATATCTCAAGGTTGGTGGCGCATTTACGTTGCAGATGTCTATGGGCTCCAGTAACCACTTAACACCAGGTGGGCTGTGAGCTCGTCCGTCCGTCCACTTAAGCAATAAATTTTTTTTAAAAAAAACCTGATGTTATAGAAGTAGTAGGCATTTAGGAAATAACCACAAACAATTAAATATTACTAATGTTGAAAACTGACGTGATCAAAGTCAATTCCGTGAACTGGAACGATTGTGTTATTAACATTAACGATGTATGTCTTAACCGGAGTTGAAAGCGAAACGAATGTGAACAATATTTTTCAGGTACCTCGATGCTCTAGGCCTTTTTTAAACTAAATTTATAAAAGTACTAGCGACCCGCCCTCGCTTCGCTTCGGAAACTGTAATTTATTATTGATTTCTCCACCATTTAGTGGATGTTATCTATACATATAAATAAAATTGGAGTGTCTGTTTGTAATATTGAAATAACCGCTTTTTACTACATGCATATGAATATATATACACCAAAATAACATTTTTTACAATTTTTGTCTGTCTGTCTGTCTGTTTGTCCGGCTAATCTCTGGAACGGCTGGACCGATTTTGACTGACAGGTAGCTGATGGTATGAGGAGTAACTTAGGCTACTTTTTTAAGACTAGCTTTGCCCCGCGGCGTCACCCGCAGTTATTGTCGTACCGCGCGCAACATGGCGGGACTCGCCTATCAATAATAAAATTAAATGTTTCCGAAGCGAAACGAGGGTGGGTCGCTAGTTATAGATATGAACCTTCCTCTTGAATCACTCTATCTATTAAAAAAAATCACATCAAAATGCGTTGCGTAGTTTTAAAGATTTAAGCATACATAGGGACAGACAGATATAGGGACAGAGAAAGCGACATTGTTTTACACTATGTAGTAAGAAGGAAATGTGTAAGAGTGCATCAATTAATTACCTACGATAAATATCAGTATTTCAATTGAACGTGTGATGATTTCATAAATGATATTTCGATAATTGAAATTTGTAATTACAATTTGCAGTTTAAGTTTTGCTTTTAAATTTTAACATTCTTTGTGTGAAATAAAACGTAACTAGACGCTATAGATGTTCTTCACGCTGCTTGTGTCGCCGTGGAGGAGGCCTTGTGTTCTCTAAACAGCAGGAACGAGCTGGCTCCGTATGCAATGGTGTTAAAGATACCAAAAACCTGAAAATTACATAATTAGTCAACACAATGCTTTGTAAATATATCGTACTTTCTAATAATTCATATCTTAATAACACAGTATATTAACAAAAATGTAAATTGTTTTCTTTATTAAATCTATAATATACATTACAGCAAAGACAAAACAGCTAAGTACTATTTCAGCATGTGGGATAAGCGACTTTTTTTTTGGGTTAAAAACAGTAACAGAAATATCAGCGTTTTCTTTTAAAAAATTTCAATAGCAAAACATAACAGAAAATGAATCCAGATATTAAGGTAACAGTGATTATAGTAAAATTTCGATCATTGTGCCAACACTAACTTGTTAACTTAGACGTCAATTTTCAACACACTGGAGTATACTTTTCAGTAATTGAACAGACGAATGCCATATATAAATTCACTAAACTACATGACGTAATTAATTACTGTAATTATAATTGATAACTATTCGTTTACTCATGGGAATTTAGGCTATTTGTTTAAATTATGTTATGGTAATGATCTAAAAAAACTTATAATCTCTAAATAAAAATATAATTCTGTAATTATTTACTGATATTAATTACGAGTATATCAACTTACGGCAGCTGCAACATTGCTTCCGTATCTTGGTCCGTAATAAGTTCCCGTCGCAGCAAACAGAACTATGAACGCCAACAGATACATTACTGTCTCCAGTGCTGTACTAATTAATTCCTGGGGAATAAAAACCGCGTTAATTAAATAAAATCCTTAAAATTTATAATAAATATATTCTTACAATATACCTTATAAATAGACTGCCTATTTCTGCCGTGAAGCAGTAATGCGTTTCGGTTTGAAGGGTGGAGCAGCCGTTGTAACTATACTTGAGACCTTAGAACTTATATGTCAAGGTGGGTGACGCATTTACATTGTAGATGTCTATGGGATCCAGTAACCACTTAACACCAGGTGGGCTGTGAGCTCGACCAACCATCTAAACAAAAAAAACAAAAAAAGACTTAAAATCAGACCAAATCAAATCAAACATTTTTTTTATTCAACATAAATGAAAGTTGTTGAACGTCAAAAGAACTACCGCCAATTCACAAAAACTAACCTCCGTCCTGAGAAGAACTGGCAAGAAACTCAACGGGCATGTCTTTTTTTTTAAACATTACATTTTTTTTTTAATATTAGAAGAACATAAAACCTGCAGTAATTATAAATTTCCGTAACTGCTTTACGTATTTGCATTCCAGTTTCAAACGTGGGACAGCCGCTATACAATTCAATTGAGACCTCATGTTTGAAGGTGTCGAAAGTAAACATTTGGCACTAGATGAATACATCGAGAAATATCAATGAAAAGTTTCAGTTATTTTAATAATGACATATCAGTTGAATTGTTTTCAATAAAATAAATTATTTATTTGGAGTACAGACGTTGCAAATTGAATGCCTAAGTCGAGTTGGAAACAAATCAACAACTTGTGGAAGTCGTTGAACGAAGATAATATCCGAAAACAATGTTTGGGTTAAAAAAAAGCATACTATTTAATTATTTAGTGCTAATTAATCGTTAAAGAACATATAATACATAACTGTCAACTCACAGAAAGAACCCAATTAATGGGCAGCTTAAGAGCCTCCCTGATGCTGAGTAAGTATACGAAACTCCACATGAGGGTTGTGATGAAGCTGGTGACTGCGACGAAGACGAACCACGTCGAGTACCACGGAGAGCCTAACCCCATACATAGTATGCCGAGAATCTGAAATAATAAATTTATCATTACAATAAAAGCTACACGCTATCAGTTACACCTGATTTTCAAGAAAAAAAAACATTTCCCTGTAAAAAATAAAATTAACAATAAATAGTCCGGGACAAATTAAACACGATCATCTGGTCCCATGCTAGCATTCTGTACTCTGCGAAACAGAGACATATGTACTTATTATTATGTATTATAGATACATTTAAATGAATACACATATAGATTTTAAACATCCAAACAAAGAGCAAACAAACTCCATCACACGAATGTTTGCTCGATGTAGGAATTGAACCCACGATCCTCACCCCAGCAGACAGGTGCGCCAACCAATTCGTTCTCAAGTCAGTCTATCAAATCGCAGAGTTGATGATAATATTCCAACTTGGACAGTGAATGTCGGACGTGAGTTCCATACTCAAATTCATCATACAAAACAGTACGAGCTCTCAGTTTAAAAATTAATTATAAATTGACTAAGGTGACTATTGCCGAATCAAAGTTTAAAAATGACTATTTTATGAAAAATTGACACTGTTAATGCTCTAAAGTAACCCTGAATACTTCTACAATACTCGTTAATTCATATTTTGTACCCAGAATGTAGCGCGGTAGCTGACACCCGCCCCTCTCATAACCGTAAATCCTGCGTTGCCGGTTGATTTGGAACAAAATACACAACAGTGTACAATGAAAATGAATAACAAAATATTTTCAACACAGTTTTTCTGTATTTTCTTGTCAGAAATTACGCCACTGTCACCTATCTATCTCATTTTTGCATCCAACACAATATGATATAAATAACGTGATTGTCGAAGAATATTCGCAATACTGTTCAGATTATTTTTGGCTACATAAAATAGTAATGGCGTCGTGTAAAATAATAATAGTCGCGAGCAAAACTTATTATTTAAGCGTAAATTTAGTTTAATAAATTTAGATTAACAATTATTCTGTCTAAAAAGAAAGATTCAGGTCTTAATTAATTTTAGTGATAGATAAAACCCAAGTCTTTGTAGCGGTACAATTGAAAATAGCTTGTGATGAATACAGGTTAACGTTTGAGTTATGTAGAATAAATAGCCTTGGCAGTATCACTCGTGATAAAATGAATGATAGAGATAGTTAAATCTATATGTACAACTACTAGTAATAGTCGTTTCGACATTGACATTTTTAATATAGAAAATCCAGAACTTTAATAACGTTCCTATAAATCTATTTAAGACCTGCATCCAGATCGGCGTCATATGATAAATGGTATTAATAGCGTCAATTTTACTAGGTTACAAGTTCATCCTTTGTAACCATCGTTTTATGAACGGAATGTTGTAGATTGATCTTAATGTGTTTGATGATTTTGTGGTATATTGAAAAACATAAAACTCAATTTTTAAGGGGCCAATTAAGATTGTTCTCGATACCTATTAACAATTTTGATAGATCGTTTAAAAACAAGTTTTTAAATTTATTTAATTAATTGTTTGACTAAAAGGTATTGAACATATTTAGTTGCCAAAATTCAACTAAATATGTTAAAAATAATATGTTGATGGAACATCACGAACGAGGATTTTGTATTTTAATATTTTGTGGAAATAATTTATAATAAGTATATGCATATTCAATGTAGTATGTTCGGCGACTATTTGGAGAATCGTTATCCGTCAGGCAGAGTTTAAAAAAAAACGAGGTGACTAGAACAACGATCTTGGATAAGTGTGAGAAATTGGCGTCAACTGAACAGCGAGACTCGAGCTCGACCCACCGGGTAACGCTAGCGCTACAAACCGGTTCTATATCGCGCACGCAAACCTTCTGTCGCAACGATTACGAGCAGGTGTTATTTGTAGAAATTCCAAGCTATAATACCAAANCAGGCAGAATTTTAAAAAAAAACGAGGTGACTAGAACAACGATCTTGGATAAGTGTGAGAAATTGGCGTCAACTGAACAGCGAGACTCGAGCTCGACCCACCGGGTAACGCTAGCGCTACAAACCGGTTCTATATCGCGCACGCAAACCTTCTGTCGCAACGATTACGAGCAGGTGTTATTTGTAGAAATTCCAAGCTATAATACCAAAATATTGCACATTGTACCGGGGCATACTTTCATCCGTACTGTTTTTCAAGGTTTCATTATACCTATGCGATCGCTTCCTGACATCCACAACCTCATGTGAAGCCAACGCGACTAAAAAAGTGTGTTAACTGGCACGTGCACGACTGTTCATATATATACAACGGAGAAAGTACGTAAGCAAGCGTCGCCGACCGTCGCCATACACGAGTATGGGACACGACCGCCATTCGAAGTTCTACTAATGGGTTCACAAGCCATCAGACGCGATGCATTCTCACTTCAAACATCCAAACGCGACCGGATTTCCGATAAGATAGGAGTGGGCTTTAAATTCATGCAAATGTTAATCTAAATTTCCAAATTTCACTACATATTGTCCGGTCTAGAATTCTAAAATATGTATATAAAGATTTAACTGTCCATTTTTTTTATGATACACGGACAGAGTACGTGCTAATTTACGCCAATCTCTTAATTAAAAACTTTTATTACGTTATTTAGAAAAATATATTATAACTATTTGAACTAAAATGAAATACTTATTATAACTAATGTCGGAGGAGAATAATGTTTTACACAAAGGACTTTTAAATTGTTTCTCATCGCATTTGATTACCCGTGGAAAAACTTCTTACGTTATTGTCTGTATAATTTAGTAAATTATATTTTTTATTAAGAATTATATTTAGTATTTGTTCACGTGCATAAGTTTAAGCAAAATTCACCTATGATAAAAACAATATATGTATATAAATATCCATTTTTTTACTAGATTCTTTTAATTTACATAATGATGATTTTCATTTACAAAACTCTAAGATACATTCATGCAAGCTACTTATAACAGTGACAATAGATATTATAAACTTCATTGCCCTTGAAACAAGATCTGCGTATGACTCAATGAGAATCACAGCCAAAGTAACAATATAAATGTTCATATAACGTCACTCGCGACTGTCTTAACAATGTGAATGCTAGTCCTATTTCATCGTAAATCAATATTAAAATAATGTATCGTTTGTGTTCTGGTTCAATGCATTTTAAAGCAATGGTTGCGAGAAGCGAAAATGCGGCCTAGCCGGTACATAGCATTCGGGTCAGTGGGTGCGGGCGCGATCACTACGCAGCTACGCTACCACAACGCTACAATACGGTACCAACGAACTGTGCCTGTTTGCCGAAGCCAAAGTACAGTGCTTGAACCAAAGCGGTTCATCGGCCGTACTTCCGCGCGCGGGCGTATCACAACTCCCTAAATTACATTATTTAAACATATTATAGTTAACTAGCTGTACCCGTCCGCTTCGCTGGGCATTTAAAATTAACATTATTATTTCTCAACCCCACAAAGATTCTCATCATTAACGCCCCCGCAACTGCTGTAGGGAGTCCAACACACATATAAATATTGGCCTATCCATTAAGTACATGTATTTTCTACACGGATACCAAGTTTCAAGTCAATCGGATGCATGGTTCAGTAGTTATAACGGAACATCCGTAAAAACCACTGTATATTTATATATTAGTATAGATTCATTATGTTTATATATTGTTATTATTTTCAGGTAAAACTTCGTTTGAAAAATGTTTTCATATCCTTAGCCAGCCTGGAAATCGAGAAAATTTAAACAAATCCTCATAATTTAAATGAATCCTAAGTACTTAGTCTTAACTCCTTGATGTAAGCCAACCACAGTTTGGGCACCCATTTAGCTAGTAAAAATATTTATATTCGTCAGTTGGCGAGTTATAGACATAATTAAAACTACTTTTACGGTTTGGTCTGTCGTTTATTTTTATTAGTTCCCATTTTGCGAACTCTTTACAGTTTTCGTGGTCACATATGACTTGGTAAAAGTAATTTTAATAAAGGTTACTACTTGAACGCAATATTTGAGATTATGTATTACACTGATGTAATGTAAAAAAATATTTTTTTAAATTAAACATCGTTAGCACTAATACGCGCACGATCGTCGCCAATTTCATACAGCAAGTGAATTTTAATTTAGAACTTACGTACACAAACATGACGCAATCCGTAGATCTGCTATGTAGGTATGAGTTTCTGCTTAGGTATGACTGCAGCAATATTCTTAGTCAAACAACTGTACATTTAATAATGAAATATTATTCTTGTTTACCTAACAAACTACGTTTTTTTTTTCGATCGATGATCTTGTCTGCTATCAAGAAGAAAACGAACATTCGAAAGTAAACTTTTTCAATTTCATTGACCTTGATTTCGCAAACGTGACGCTGTTGTACGTTCGACGTAGGAATTGTCAGCGCTCAATGTTTACAAACAAAATTTTTATTAAACACGGCAGTATTGAACAATTTGCATTAAGGCGATAAATAATATCAATATCGAATTTAGTAAAACGTGATCATTCAATGTCACTCTTGTATAATAATTCAGTTATATTCCGCATTAAGAAAATGAAATTCTTGCGAGTGTAAATGTGCATAATAGATTAATGCCTATAGGAAACGTGATCCAGACTGCTGCTGCTGATTGAGCTTTCAGCTGGCCGGTACATCGTCGAAGCGAGTCGCCCGGGTCTCTAAGACTAAGTGAATCATTACCGAGGACAACTCAACTTCCGGCTAGTGCAGATGCTGAATAATGCTGATTAACTACGAGTACTTTAGGAAGTACTTGCACCAGAGCAGAGCCTATGATAGAACCATCACTGTGTATTCGAATAAATAGATTAAAAATGGCGGAATACACGCTCGTGTACTGCCTGGGATGCGTGAATGGCAGGAGCGATGACATTTCCTCATCGCATCGCAGAAATTGGTACTGACTTGTCTCTACCGTTGCTCGAATTCTTAAAATGCCCCATTTTTATAAGCAAGGTGCGGTTTGTGAGAGAGTTTGTGAGAGCTCTATTCTC